GCCTCTCAAGAATCCACATTCTGAAAGTTTCTGGGCTCCGTGTCTATCTCTCTCGCACGACAGTCTGAGGGGACAGGCAGGCACTGGTGACAGGTGAAAAAGTCAATTAAAACAATTTAGTGTAGTTTATGATGGTTTATTTCACCCATGTAACAAATAATAACAAACTTTATTCCTAACAACTATTTTTCATAATATGCAATAAATGGTAGTACTACAATCTGACTCGTAATACACATGCATAGTTAATGGATACTGGATGAACTTGTTGAGTCCCACAGGACCACACATATGGTCATAATAGCTCCCTACATAATAGCATGTGAAAGGGACCTCTCCTAGACTCAATGTGAATAAAAAGCCTGACATGACACATTAATTATAACAAATAAAATATAAACAGCTATCAGAAGTGTATCAGTATCACAGCAGCACTATTATTTAAAGGTGCTTATAATTATAATTAAAAAGGATAGATAAGAAAGAACAAGTTTGACAGTCCTTGGGAGATTTTTAACAACACATGAACTCTTTCGAGACCAGTTCTTGATTAGAATAATCAGTATGAAGGGTATGAAATAAAAGGCTATTCCCATTCTTTCATTATTTGTTCATATTCATCATCCTCAACAAAAGGCCGATCAATGGATCTGAAAGATGATAAAATATCAAATTAAAACATCTTCCACCACACACAATAACTAATTAAGTAATGACCAAATTATTCTTACTTGATCATCATTTCTCCACAATAGAGACACTCGGATGCCACAATTGCATCAATATCAGCTTTAAGCTGGTCTCTAGCCGATATGCTGGTAGAATTGATTGAAATAGCATCATCTTTGGAGGACATGGAAGCAAGTTGTCGCTGTACACATGAGAAAGATTAAAGTTTTAACAGTGGTATTGTAACACAGTTGACTTCAAAAAACGTTTTACATATGTATACTTACACGGTACTCTTGGAGCTTACTACGTTTTCCTGGAGGTAAGGCAGGTAAAAGCTCGTTCAGTAGACAATCTGAATGAAATGTGTGTCCACAAGGAAACAGGTAAAATGGTCTCAGCAATAGCTGCAGAGAACATTCTTGGCAGACATCATTACTTCCCACTACTGTATACCTGACATGACACAGAAAATTAAGAAATACTTCTTTAAAGAGAAAAGGAAACATTACACAAAAAGTTTATAAAATCAGACTATACCTTTTACGGAACGAGTGAATTTCATCTCTGATAATTTCAGCCGACTTGGAAGCTTCTTCCATGTCATCCTTGAGATCCTTGATTCTTTGATTGTATACCTACAATAAAAAGAGTCAGAAATATTCAATTTGCGACAATTTTAGCCAACTTCAAACTTGGCAATAAGTAGTACCTGCAAAGATGTGCAAATTGCATCCTTAAAATGATCGATTGTTACAAAATCTGAAAAGAACGGTAAAATGTCTTCTATTTTAACAAGAGGGCATTGTTTCAAGAATTCCATAGCTTGCTGGATGTCATTTTTTTCACTGACAACATGTTTGGCTGAAAGAATAAAAAGGATTACACAATTGATGTAGAATTATCAGATAGTTTGAGTTACGCAAGATAACATAAATTGTCAAATTTTCTGCATAGTCAGAAAACTTACCAATTTTTAACCAAAGCTTCTTCTGCAACTCTGTATCATACTGAGGCTGGGAAGCTATGTCCTTTGCTTGCTGGATATTTTCTGAAAGGGCAAGGTCAACAGCAGACTCCCATAGCCCAAGGAGTGCAGACAACTGAACACAGGCTTCATTTAATTTGTGTTCCCGGCACAACCGCAATGCATAATGTGGATCATAATGAACAGTAGAGACATCTTCCCCTTGAGTGGCCAGATATTTCTTCAGTTTGGTGGGTTGGAACTTTGCATACAGCATGAGAAGATAATTATGTATAGCATGATCATTAGCATGCAGCTTGTGAACAGCAAACTCAAGATAATATATAGCTTCATCAACAGCTTTTGGATCACGTAAGTCACAGGCAATAAGGGCAGGTAATAGACTGACGGGTTTAAGAGCACGACCCTGTGATATTAGAGCAGCAACTGTTTGCTTTGGCTCTGCTTGCATAAGAGCTGGAGCAAATTCATAAAAGAGCTCTTTTCTATCCTGGGACTTCAAAACTTCAAGAGCCTCTCGATAGTCGCCTTTGTACAAGTGATGACGGATAACTTTCTCAAAATCTCTGTTGACACTTGTCAGCTTAACAAGGTTAGCTTTATCTCCATGGCTAGCAATCAAGCTATAAACCTTTTCACTGTTAAGTTTCACACATTCCTAACAAAAAGAGCACAAAATACATAAATTTCACAAAATTTCATAGAATACAATTCATAACACTGTTTTCTTTTTAAACTCATGCAAATGTACAGTATTTATGACAGATTAGAAAATAAGATAAAATTCAACAAACCATAACCATTTTCTCTTTCAGAAATGAGTCAAACTCTTTCTGAAGTTCAATATAATCAAGTGAGTTTTCCAGTTTTTTGTCTCTGAGTTCACCTAATTGATTCAAAAACAATTCCAGCACCCATATCACAATCATTGTAATTTGAGTCTTATCTTGAGGGCGCAATAAATCTAATTTCTTGAAAAAGAAAACAAGATTACAACATTATGGAATCATGCAATTAAATCATACATTCAATTTATGGGCAGAAATTTATTCTTACCTTCTTTAAGAAAAGCTTAAGGGCTTGCATTTGCCGTACTTTGAGGAATTTTAATGAGATTTCTTCAAATGAAGATTGAGTTTGAGCATAATGTACAGCACTTTCATCATACCTGAAACAAAAACAAAATAATAAAAATACCATACAAGAAGTTGCAGGTGCCAGTACATTAAAAACCAAAAAATCAAAATGAACTACACTATAAAATTTTTTGCTTAGTAGATTACGTAATTAAAAGAACCTACTGTTTGTTCTCAAAAAACATTTCTGCTTGACGAACAAGTACTTGGTCCATAAAAGCAGGGTTATTACCACAATACTTCTTGGCCAAATCAAATTTTCCCTTTTCAATGTAGATCTGAAACCAAAGATATCTTTTTAATAGAGAGTTTGTTTTCTCTAGTTAATAGGTTGTCAACTTTTAGAAATTACTGATAGATATAAAACAAAAGAATGGATAAAAGGATGGACTCACTTGCCATACATTTCGATCTTCTTTTGTCACTTTATATTTAAACACAGATTTTTCTGTAAAAGCCCAAACGGTACCCTTCAGTGGGTCCTTTGTAATGTTAATGAGCTTTCCAATAGGCTAGAGAAAATGGTCAAGAGTTAATTAAGATAATAAGAAAATGACCAGCTAGGTAATAAGCAATGAAGAAATGGAAAGAGAACAGACCTCATTTAAAACATCTTCAAAAACCACTTCATGGTTTAGGAGAGATACACCTTTGATGTGATCAGCATACATGAGCAAGGCATGGAATTGAGTAAGAATAAATGAGATTGGTGCTGTGGATGGAAAGTGGAGCAAGTCTTGTTCTGCTATAACTTTATCATAACTGAAGCTCAAATCAATCTGCAAAAAGTTATGGGTTTGGTAACATAGAAAGAGAACACATGCTAGGTGATTGTAAAGTTAAGGAGTAATAACATTGGTAAATATAAATTATACCTCTCCACAGTACAGTCCTTGCTCAACTAGCCATGCACACTGTGTTGGTTGGCTTGTTCCAGAGGGGTAATAAAATTGCAGCTTTGAATATTTCAACTTTGATGCCATGCTTACAAATTGTTCTGCAAAAAGTAGGTTTTATAAAATTGATTTTCATAAAATGATGATGATTGAAACACAGACAGCGTTTCAATTCACCTGGTTTGTTGAGGTAATTGTTGAAAATTTGAGGAAGGAATGGTCTTTCTTCAATGTTGCTTGCAGATCCTACAAACTCATAAATTCGGTCAAGGGTAGTTACAATGATGAAATAAGTCTCAGTGCCGGGTATTCGATGGAACTCTAAGCCAGTTATAGGGATGTTGCTTGCTTGCTTGCCAATATCAAAGACCTGAAGAACAATTAGATAAAAATATAAATTTCATCCCAATACATCTTTTACAAATACTTGTTTGATTAATTGTATACCTGTTTACAGTATTGCTCAAGGCTATTTCCAAAAATTCTGTCCCCATCAATTTTAATCTCCATCTCAAAAATAGCTCCTTTGGATGTGCCTAATAGAATTGGTCCTGTTGTAGATTCGGCTGTCATATTAAAACTCCATGCAACTGATGTTACCTCTGATCCTCGAAATTTACTAATCTGAAATAAAAATATTTTGAATATGAGAAAATACATTGTTATCTGCAAATAAAGCAGATAAAGCTTAGTATTTTATACGTCCAAAGCAAACCTGTTTGACTTTGGTAGAACGTCTGTTCAGGTAGAACAGCTGACAGTAAGGTTGTATCTCTCCTTGTTGGCGAGACACTGTGGGTAAGAGGAGGTGTTCTCCAGATGGATCAAGATATAATCCTGAGAGTCTAAGCTGGTTGGACAAAGTCTTACTGATGTCAACTTCTGATGAAGGAAAAAAATAAGTGATTAACTACACAATGTTTCAAGGAAAAAATATAAGGAGTGTTGCCTTACCTTCAGTTTTGTCAGGCTGCTGAAGGTCAATTCTGAGAAGGTGTTGATTTGCCATGGCTAGAACAAGTAGGTTATTGCTCACAACTAAATGAGTAATAGAATCAGGAGGTGAAAAGTTGACTCTCTGTCTGACAAATATTGGAGTCTCCTCTTCAAGCTTCATGTGAATAAAACCCGTGGTACTCTGATTCAAAAAAAACAACAACAAAACACACATTTATCATTGTAATATAAATAGCTTAATTTTTTTGTTCACGTAAGATAAAAATCAACACTAATTTCCATACCATTTCTGGCCGTATTGGTACCATTGTTGACTTTGATTTTGATGTAGGCTGTTCAAACTGATCAAACAGACTAGTCATGATGGAAAGAGATGAAAGACGCTTAATTAAAGGACACTGAAAATCAGGAAATAAAAAACTGCATGAGGGTTGAGTTTGAGTCCGTAACATATTGGTCTTTAAAACATCAATATTAAATATAAAAAAATAAACACCCATTCAAATAAAAATATGCAAAAAACAATGTCATTGGCAAGAATTACTGTAAACAACACCAATCGGTTGAAAAATCATCAATGATCATTTGCAAATGTAACATTTGTAAGTGAAATTGGTAAGGTTAAAAATTTTCAATTAATGCAGAAGAACTACAGTACAATCAAGTTTTTCACATGATATCATTCGAAAAGAGACGAAGAAAGAAGGTTAACATGAATGCTAAAATCATGTTCGGTTTCCATGGATTTGGCAGCCCCGCCTAACCCTGTGTCTTACCCAAGAACTAGTCACTTCAATGCTTCCGGAATGAATTGGGCATTTCTAAAATGTCTCTTACCTTTCAAAAGTAAGTAATACATATAAATTATCACAACATTTCGCTTTTCGAGCCCACAGTGTAAACTAAATTGGCTGAGCCTACAAATGTCAGCTACCTTCTGAATGACACTGTCAGGGCAGGGGAGGTTATGTTTACATCTGTCATCTGTCTGCTAACAGCTGGGATGTCCAACATCAATATTCTATTCTCGGTACTTTATTTATTACGTCAGCATTGGTATTCGGAATTTAATTTAAAATTTACAATGGTATGATGTAAGTGAAAACAAAAATTTGCATTTTTTTCTCAAATCAGAGCAAATAAGATGTTTTAAAGTTCTAGCAGTAAACTTTGGAAGGTTGGTGCAAGTGAGACGTTGGGGGAAAGTAAGAGTGTTTTGTGTTTGTGTTTTCGATCGGCTGGTTGTAGTACTGGGTCTGTTGCTTTGGCAAGAAGTATTTCATGGTTTTAGAAATCAGAAAAAAGAAATAACAGAACGCAAACATTTTTTCGAGTAATTACTTTTAACGACGCTGTTATTACTGTTATCTTGCTAAGGTGTCTTATAACCTGCATATGTTATGTTTGTTTCCTTAGTCGTTTAGCCAAGCATTACCTTCCTCTTTACAGCTGTGAGGAGGACAAGTCTCCCATGGAACAATGGAATGGGTGCAATGCCTCCTGAGCGACGAATTAATCTGTCTGTACTAAAGAGACAAGGTAGTGGGTCCAGTGTAAAATCGAACAGAGGTTGCGATAAAGTTCAATCTCATGTAGAGAAGATACCGTCAAAGCAATATGTTGCCACTGAATTTTCCACAAACCAGATATCAGAAGATACAGCTCAGCAAGTCACAGTTGAAAGGAGTAATTGTTCAAAAAGCGATGTTACAAAGGAAAGGGCATCTGGAGACGCTTCTCAAGCAATGAAGTGTTTGGAAGATGACTCTTATGATGTTCCTTGTGAGCAGTTGGCCAAGTCACTGCTAGGAAAAATTCTGGTCAGGAGGCTGGATAGTGGGCATGTTCTTAAAGGTCGAATTGTTGAGACAGAATGCTATTTAGGGGAATATGATAAGGCGTCCCACTCCTTCAAAGGTAGAATGACTGAGAGGAATGCACCCATGTTTATGAAGCCTGGAACAGCTTACGTCTATTTAACATATGGAATGTACCACTGCTTCAACATATCAAGTAGAGGTGGGTACCAAGTTACAGTTCATTTCAATTTATTCAGTTTGAATAAAGAATTTCCAAAGAAGGGTGTGGGGATGAGTTGCCTAACTGTGTCTCTGTTAGGCCCAGGGGCTGCCGTCCTCATCCGGGCGTTGGAGCCGGTCGAGGGCATGGACCTGATGGCGGACCTGCGTGCCCGCGGGGTCAAGAAGAAGAAGCCAGCGAGCGGCGAGGGGGAGGAGGGGGGCAGCAGGAAGGCAAAGAGCAAGAACTTCAAGCCGCACGAGCTGTGCAGCGGACCGGCCAAGCTGTGCATCGCCATGGCCATCGACAAGGACTCGTGCAACAAGAAAGACCTCACCACCTGGCCAGGGCTCTCCGTGGTGCACGCCGAGGGCGCCGGGGAGGGGGAGCCACCGCCGCCGGTGGTGGTCACCAAGAGGGTGGGCATCGAGTCGGCGGGGCGCGAGTGGGCCGACAAACCGCTGCGCTTCTACCTCCTGGGGAACGCGTCCGTGAGCAAGAGGGACCGCGAGAAGGAGAGGGACCTCATGGGCAGGCCATGAGAAAGGGGAGCCTACACAACCGCAGATTCTTTGAAAAATTAAACAGTGCAGAAAAAGCGCAAACAGTAAGCCAATCCTTGAGCCCCCCCCCCCCTTTCTCCCCCGACTGCTTTCAGTACTCAATCGCTCATCAATGATTCACGTCCGCAGTGTACGGAGCAGGAGCACGGCGCAGAATCAAACTCTCTGGAGAATCTGCATTGTTTGGCATTTGGCAGCGGTGTTTGTCCGGTTAATATTACAGGAGTAGCACCCACCCCCACCCCCTCGCTTCTTTTGTCCCCTCTACCCGTTAACGGAAGAGAATCGTCTGTCGCTATGTCGGAGCGGGACGCCGCGACGTCGCCGGGCATCCAGTTAAAGTAGCACCAGAAACGATAACGGGGAGAACGACATGGGGGTGGTGAAACAGGATACCCGGTGGTGTTGCTGGCCCCATGTGTCTTGCGAGAAATAAAAGCATCCGATTCCTTCCCAGTCGTATTATTGCTTCCACAGCGCAAACTTCTACTGCCTCTACTTTTCCCACCCACACCCCCTTCTCCCCATCCCCCGCCTCTTTTTCCATGTTTTCCTACGACACGGAAATTTAATAGGCCGGTTCTATGGCATTTTCGTTTTTAAATGTGCTCTGAAGGTGCTCTGCTGCACGACGCCGTGGGGCTGATGGCATCGCACGGGGAAAGGGAGCTCCTCTGCAAAGCAATTGGAACAGAACAGCCCCCTGGACTCCCCTTCTCGGGTCAACCCCCCAGGGAGGGACCCACGACGATCGGGGGGAGAGAGTGCCTCGCTCTCCACCCTGCCTCCCCGGCCCCGTGAGGCCTCCACACAGCCTCTTTAAACTCCAAGGTACGATTGCCGCACCGCACGGTATACACCTTGGCAGCTCGTCGCGGGGGCGTCGTCGGTCGCGCCGAAAAGCGGGGGGG